ACCCTCCCCCCTGGAAACCTTATCTTTGTGCGCGTTTTGCCAGGCACAGCCTCCGACTATGCCGAGCCTCAACGCAAGCAGCCAGGGCAGGAGCCAAGCCCCCGAGCAGCCCTCCCGAGGAGCGAGCGTCCCGGCACCAAGACCCAGGGGCGATGCCTGGGACACACGAGGACGCTGGCCGGGGCAGGGCGGGATGCAGAGCTGGCGGGACAGAGAGGGGATGATGCACATTGCAGACCCCGAGGCCCTGGCAGCACCCGGCTCAGACAGAGAGGCTGGGATGGCTCCTCACCGGGCAGCAGAGAAGAAAGGGACAGGGTGCATGTCCATGTAGCCTGGGGAGGCTGGCGGCTACGCAGAGCCCCGGGCCAGCCCTGCCTGGCCCCTGCCTGACCCTAGACGGAGCCGGGGTGCCCGGAAGCCTGCGTCACACCAGGGCTCCGCGCGTAAGAGGCCACGGAAGGGTGACGGGCTGGAAACGCAGCCGCACTCCAGGAAGCAAAACCCCGAAGGCGCGCGGAACTGTGACATAACATCTGCAAACCTCAGCTGCTTCCTCAAAACCTTCGCTTAACCTCAAAGGAGGAAGAGCTGCTCCCCGCTGTGCCACCTCCCACCCCACGGCTGCTCCCAGGCTGCTCTCCCTTCCACGGCAGCGGGGCTAGGCCTGGCCGTGGGGTGTGTGGGGCTGGCACTGGGATGCTCTGGGAAGGCAGCCCACACCTCGAGGCGGTCTCTGTGGCACAGCACAGGGCTGCAGCTGCGCAGGTGGTGCTGGATGCATGGGACTGAGCTCGCTCCAGAGCCTCTGCCCAATCCCTGCTGGCCCGGCCGCACCCATCTCTCGAGTTGCTTTTGCTTTTAAACCACAGTTTGTTCCCTGACAAGGTACAGCCATGCTCAGACTGGACAGGAGAGCTCGCTCCACCATGCTGCATCTCACACTGCATCAGGTGCCTACACAGCCATTTGTCTGTGCTGCCCCAGCCAGGACCTACCGTGGCACGCCAGGGACGCAAGCTCTCTGCCCAGCTCCCCGCTGCTGTGAGCAGCCCCTTAACCCAGTTTGCAAGC